GTGTGTGTGTGTGTATGGAGGGGTAGAGGCACTGAGGTCGTGAGGCTCCGTGATTCAAAGTGTCTCTGGGACAGAGCGGCCGCAGACAGGCAGGCAGGGTCACAGTGGAACCACAGACTGGGACTCATCGGGAGGGTCATCCATGCTGCGGTTAAGGCAAACGTAAACTCCTGGCACTGCTCACAATGAAGCCTTTTACACAAACGTGAGTGCGTTTCCACTGATATAGCAAAGTCTTATCCACACACCCACTGTTTGAAATGCATATAAAGTGTTTAGTTTAGTGTAGTGTTTTCTCCTCAACCCTCTTCCCTGAAATGTGTGAGACTAATAATCCAGCATTCCTGTCTTTATTTTGGAGGAAGGGGGTTGGTCAAAGTTCCCCTCTGATGTGGGGTTAGGGTCGTCTCAGACTTTGCTGTCAGAGGGCACCTCTCCCAGGGCGTGCACAATTTCCGTGAAGGAGGGGCGCTCCTTGAGGCTTAGCGCCCAGCAGCGGGCCATAAGCTTGTAGATTTTGGAGGGGCATCCCTCTGGAACGGGCAGCTTCAGCTTCCCTGTCTGCAGACCTAGAGGGGCGGAGGGTCAGCAGAGAGAGGGAGGTTAAGACAAGAGACATGGACATATGTGGTTGTTTGATAGCATTTAACATTTAATGGATACTCTGTGACTTCCCCTCGAGAATTGATTACATTCCACCTCAGTAGGGACCCATTTTCTCTCTCTCTTCTGTGCTGAATCAGAACCTGGACTAAAAACAAGCCGCTGAAGCATCATACTGACCTTCCAGCGTCTCATCATCGCTGAGCTTGGTATATGGCAATTCCCCGTGACTGAACACTTCCCACATCAATACTCCGAAGGCCCACACGTCAGACTTGGTGGAGAAGTCGTCCTCAAACACGGACTCTGATGGGAGCCAGCGCAGTGGGATCCATGCCTGTCTGTAGTGGTAGTACTCACTACATACACAAAAGAGATGACAGGGAGATGGGTAATAAATAAAATTAGCCGGATGAACAGCGACGTCTCAGAATTGTAATGGAGCCATTAACTGTAGTTGGTGATTAAAGTGGGTGAATCTTATTAAATCAAGCTGCTTTTCCAACAGACCTGTTGTAGACGTCCTTGCTGAGGCTGAGCGATGACACTTTCACGCGCCTCTGACTGTTGATCAGGCAGTTTCGGGCAGCTAGGTCTTTGTGAACGAAACGGTGATTGGACAGATGCTCCATCCCATGAGCCACCTGGGCACAGATGGAAACCTGAAAGAAAGGAGAAAAAACATAATCAAAAAAACTGTCAAGGTGAAGTGACTTTGATAATACATCTACAAAGGCAGCAGAGCTTGCCAAGGTTTTGTTTGGTAGCATCCGTTAGGAATAATATGATATTTTGGAAAAGGATTCCCAGATTAAACACAGAATATGTAATATGTTAGTTAGTGAGTTTAAGAGGTGCTGTTAGAGGTAGTTAGATTTTTTTTTACCTTTGGAGAGAGCCAGGCTAGCACATGCTTTGTCTTTTTTGCTAAGCTACACTAACACTAATAAGTGTGTTTCCAAAATGTCTAAATGTTGCTTTAAGGACACAATGTCTTAGAGGGAATGGGAAGAGCATAACTTGCTCTATATGCTTTAGCTGACATACATTTCGGTCTTTATTATTTGCAGGATGCTGTGAGCTGGCACTCATGGTAAAACATTCAACACTTACTTTGGTCTTGGTGCTGATAGGCTGAGATTTGACCTTGTCATCTTTGCTTTTGGAAATTCTCAGGAACTGCTTTAGGTCCCCCTGGTACGATAAAAGCAAAAAAGAGAGTATTATATACCAGGTAAAAACAAATATACTTCTTCCATCCTCATGTGTTTGTGCATGTGCTTTTGTTTTTGTGTGATTACCAGGTCATAGTACTCCAGGATCATGTAGTGCGGCTCTGCCTCCCTACACAGGCCCAACAGGCGGACCACGTTGGGGTGGCTGAGCTTGGCGAACATTTCAGCTTCGCGGCGGAAGTCGAGCTGGAGCTGCTCATCTCGGGTCTGCAGGCTCTTCACCAACACCACCGTCTCCTCCTCGCTCTCCTCGATACCCTTAGCTTTGCATAGCAGCACCTCACCGAACTCCCCTTTACCTGAACATTCACACAGAACAGAGAGCACATGTCAGAGCAGACGCCACATGTTGTTTTATGAGGTGAAGCACAAGGTCATTTACTATCAATAAGACATACAAAAGATAATTAATATGAATTAATCATTCTACCTAAAGTAGTGATGGTTTGCAGGTTTGCCCGAGGGAAGTGGAGCTTGTCATTGTTGACGTGGCTGTGGCGTTTCTCGGTTGTTGCCATGGTACCCATGTTGGTGAGTGCCACCTCTTCCTGGATCTCAGTGGTGGTGTGGCCATTTTGTTGAACGGCTCCACCTAAACACAACAGACATCCCACAGGGTCAAAGATCGCCCACATAGTGCAAATCTCAATGGGTATTCACTGTAAACGTGATGTGTATCCAAACAGAGTAAAATCTATTCAACAAAACCTATAGTTCTTGCTCTGATTAGCTCTCATTAGAAGTTACACGGTGTAAAGTTGGATGCTGTATGAGAAGACTTCAGCAGGGTGTCAGCACATATCCCACTACTGCTCTGTCCCGATTCCACTGTGTACAGCATGTACCATATCTTAATCTTCATATTATATTGTTTTTGTCAAATGTAATTCTAACCGAAACTTGAATGTCACTACAAATTAAACTTCATAAAGACAAAGTAATTTTTTGTGTTCTGAGGTGTCCCAAGAACTGTTTCACTATCATCCACAATTAGTTTAGATTGGATTTTTTTTCCAGCTGTCAGCAGCTTTTGTACATCAACACACTCAAAAACTGCCCCCAAATCTTCCCACTCACAGTTAGTGTGTGCAGCGGAACTGGGACACAGCTCATCAAATTTGATCTGAATCTGTGGCCTATCACATGTTAAATGCAATACCCAGGATAAACACAAGATGGCAGCAAATATTCTAAACTTCTCAACAACACTTTGAGGACCATAAAGTTGGAGGAATATCAACTACTCACATAACCACAGGATTTTACAACAGTTTCACCACAAATTCAGAAACGTTCTTCTCCATCATACCATTGAGACACTCCATCTCAGGCTCCTCTCCATCCTGGCCTTTCTGCAGTCGTTTTGCGTTGCGTCTCTTTTTGCAGTAGAACATGAGTCCCAGCACTACAATGATGTACGCCACAGCTGCTCCCACTGACAGACCGATGGTTTGGATCATCTTGTAAGGAGCCCTGTCCCCATCTTCATCGATAGAGTGCACTGGTTTGTCTGTTGGGCAAAGTTAGTTAACTAAAATGCTCCGAAAAAGTACAGGATGTGTAACATGTCGGTTGGATGTTACCACATCCAAGTCTTTAATCAACATCACATGGATCAGTTTTTTTTTTTTAGAGTAAAAATGCAAATACAAGATGTAAATATGCAGTTCACTTTGAATTAAATGCGATTTCCAAAGTTAAACCCGTGTAACAACTGTAAAGCAAAACAAAAGCAAATAGCAATCCCTTATCTGTTTTATAGATTCATTATATGTATGTTGAAATCATAAGACTGTTGAGAAACATACAACCACTTCATTCAACAAGCTATTTTCACACTGTTAGACAGTGTTGTCACGCTGGCCCTGACGAGCTACGACAAACATCTAAATTTAATTGTCTCCTGCTTTGAACTAATCCAGAATACCATCCTGCTACTTTGGAAGAAAATGAGTTGATATGGGACACTAGTGCAAGTGTGTGACTGTAATTTTCAGCCTCAGTCGACACACAAGGAGCCACAGAGTGTGAAGCGTTATTAGATCTAACGGTCTGCCCAATCCCATCGCCTCAGTGACAGCCGTGGCGTCAGAGATGTGGCTGTGGTTATTAACCTGTCGACTTGGATGACAGGCAGAGGGTGAAGGTTTAATGAATGCCTTCATCCTTTACTTGTGATCTTGGCGTACGCCCCATGTGTGCACCTTTGTTCCAGATAAAGGAAGCCTGTGTAAATATGATTGCCTGTGCCTGTGTATTAAACTCACCCACTACATACAGCTGAGCCACACGGTCTTTAATACTGCAGCTGTTTCCAGCCACGCATGTGTATCTGCCAGTGTCGTCTGTAGTGACATCTGTAATCACCAAGGAGCCATTGGGGAGCTTCTGGAACCTGGAAGAAAGAGGGGACAGGTGAAGATGAAGGCGGATGTCCAGAATTCACAGCAGGGAAGGAGGACAGACATGTTGATTGGGTGTAATACATTTTCCCAAGCTGGCATGTGAGACTGTAATATGAGACTGACACATTACTGTAGCAGAAAGTAACATTTGTTTTATTTTTATCTGTTGGGTGAACTGATTCAGATCACTCTGTTAACATATAGTATGAATATACTAATGTACAAAAAAGATTTAAAGTCCACTACATATACACAGTGGGACTCATGGAAGAAGGTGTTTGTTTTGTTATCCTAAATCTCTCTTCTTCAGACTTTTATATTGTGACGTTTGCTCGTTCGACTGTTCCTCATAAATTGCTCGTTTCATCCTGATGAAAGCCTCCTGTTCATGAGCAGCCGGCTGTGTGTGAGGTTCGATCATTAGCACAATCAACCTCCCGAACACTGCTCTGTAAGGCTACCTGTTCCACAGTTTCATTCACAAAATTCTTACTCAAGTGTAAAGAGAAGAACTTCACACTTTGGAGCCCAAGGGTGGAGATCATAGGACAAATTTAGAAGTGTCGCTGTATCAGTACGAATATTAAAGCACAATTAATAATTATTAATAGTGAATCTGTTAACAATGTGTCATTAGAGAAGCACCGCACTGAGACATACTGTACATGTAGGTGAGGTGCATCTCTAAAGTGTTATAATGGAGGATGTTCACCTGGACAGCGACCTGCATAAAGCAGCTGAAGGAGTGGTAAAACTACTGAAATGTAAAAGTTGCCATGCCAAAATATATGGACATTATGGATTATTACGTTTATTTTTGTTATTCATTTTTATTTTAGTTAATTTTGGAAACATATTTAAAACTACAAATTCATTCCAATTCAAACTTTTCCTCTCTGTGGAGAGAGGTAGACATCAGTTCCTGACTCATACTTAAGTTTTCGTAAATCACTCTTTCGTGCCATTTAAGAACCAATCTGTCTGTACGAGATGTTCTTGCGTGAGGCCCATTGCGTGCCCATTGTGTAATACTATATAAGCACAAGCTACATCTATAATGAACGCACAACAAATTAAACTGCAATCCATCCTGTTTGGAACCTGTAATCACAAACTGTTTTCCTAATCCACGATAGTTGAGCTGTCTCAAAGGCAGATTAAAAAGAAAGAAAGAGTCTCATTTACCTTCTGTTCTTACTGATGTCCAGAGTCTTGTCTTTGACCATCCAGTGGATGTGGGGCTCGGGGTCACCGGTGGCCTGACAGTGCAGGATGGCTGTGTGACCCTGGTACACCGTCGTATTCTCTGGCTCCACCTTAAAGCGAATGTACACTATACGTGCACAAACACACACACGCGCTCATTAATACAACACTTACACCACAACTGGGTCATAACATTTCCTTTACAGACTGTGGTGACTGTGGTTAACAGTTAGTTACACTCTACAACCCGAAATGCAATTCATTACTGAGCTATAAAAAGGCCACTAAGCACACTATAAATGCTGCTGTATTTGCCACTTGATGAGAATGATCAATGACTGTCTGTGCACTGAGACCACAAGTACTTTCAATGTGGGGCTGATGACTAATACGGTGGCGTGACCCTTTCTCTCTCATAATTCCCTGCTCCCAGGATGATGAGTGAGCAGTTTACCGGCCACAGTGAGGGTCACCAGGGCTCTAATCTCCCCCTGGAGGCTGTTGGAGGCGATGCACGTGTAGTTGCCGGCGTCGCTGCGGGTGACTTTGGTGAAGTGGAGATGGCCGTTCCTCTGCTCTATGCGAGGTGGCAGCTCTCCTCCGTCTGCAGGGGGAGACAGAGAGACACACAGGGGGTTGGTTAGGAGTGCTGAGTGTGGGGCTGCCTGTGGAATTCGAGCAGTTAAATCTACTCCATCATTGCAAACACGGATGAGGTGGGGAAATGATCCATGATGATGAATCTTCCTCACACTCTGTTGATGCACATTCTGTGCGTGTTTCTACATATGCTTGTAGAAACAGCATTTGTCATCATTAGCATGAAAGGAATGAAGGGTACTGCTGGCATTCTGGATGAGATATTTCCTTAAGAAAGTGTTAAACAATCATCTTTATTCGATTTAAGTTATTGTGAGCTAAGATAAAGCCAGCAGTGTACAAACCTGCTTTGGTCCAGTGGATGGTGGGGGGCTCTCTGCCTTTAGCGGAGCACTGGATGATGATCTCATTATCCAGCTCCAGGCACTGAGAAGGCTGGGGGGTCGGGGTGAACTTCAGCTTCTCTGAAACACAAGTCAAAACACCACACACATTACACACGTGGTAAACACGGGGGGGGGCAACAAGTCAAAGCCTCTTTTGTGCAACTCACACTGTAGATGAAATGACACAAAGCTGACGCAAATCATGTTCAGGCACATTCGGGGAAATGTGGCTGCATGCACACATGGTACACACAGATCTGAGTGTTAAACCTGAGGTCTATCAGAGGATGAGATCATAAAAACAGATTGGCCAGACAAAACAGTGACATGTCGGGCCATCTATCACAGTAATCCTATAGCAGCGGAGCATCACTGAATGAATGAAATTTATCATGGAGATAATGTGTTAAAATGAAGGCTGAAATAAAGGTGCTGTGCATGAGTCATATTTCACACCTCTGTGGGTGTCCTGAGGACGCCCAGAGACACAACATAGACAAGCTTGTCTTATTTTAGGAAACACACACATTCACACTTGCAAGCCCACAGGCATGACCACATTTGTTTTTATATTTTCTCTCATTGCTGTGTTACCCATTATACCCCGGATATGATTTCACTTGTTACACATTATCTTTCAGTCAGTGCGGGGAATAACTTCAAGTACACCCTCAGTAAGAATAGCATAATCTACTGTATATATTAATATTAATCAAAGAGTGATTCCCTCGCAGCTTACCGAGCACAATAACTCTAGCTTGTCCAGACAGTCGGCCGCCTACAGTCTTAGTTTCACAGCCATACATCTGTCCGTCGTACACCTCCACATTGTTGATCCTGAGGGTGCCGTTACGGAACAGCTTAAAACGAGAGTCCTAGGGGAAAAAACAGAAGAGTTTTTAAGTGAAATTTTCTCATGTCTAGAAAAAAATAAAGCAGATATTAGGTGAGCTTTCATATGCTAGGTGTAGACAGAATGCCGATCAGAAAAAGACACTTACAACTGTTTGTGTGTTATTGTGTTTGATAACTGACCTCCTGTGTGATTCTGATGTTGTTGCGGAGCCATGTGACCTCAGGTTCAGGGTTGGCCTGAGCGTGACAGTGAAGGTAACCTGGTTTACCTTCCTCTAACTGGCTGTCCTGAGGCCTCGTCACCCACACTGGGGCAGCTGTGGAGACACACACAGATAATGCATTATAGTATCATATAGTATCAGTACAGTTCACTTAACCATACACTCCATGTGACTTGTCCTTTTCCATATACATAATAGCTCTTCAGCTACATGGCACTGCCTTGAATGAATATATATAAAGTGAGCTTGGTCCATTGGTCAGTCTGAACATAGACTGTCAGTTGTGTAATGCCAGTGTATCTGCTAAATGGCCTGAGTGTTCCCACCGTGCTCTTGACATTAAATAACATGACATAGCATAAAATAAAGAGGACTTCAGTTACCTATACTGCACGTTAGCCCTTACTGGCTTGCTTATGTTCTCTTTCAGCTTACGTTCTAAAGGGGAAAACAGTCTTATTTTCACTACTCTACTCTTTGGGATGCTATGGGGGAAAAAAACTAATAAATTACATACAAATACAAAATAAATTATGGAGTTTTACTATATTATGCCATATTCATGTGATAAGATGATAATTCATTAGTATATATCTTCTATGTTTTGAGCCTTTTTTAGACAGTGAAAACTGAATACTAGCCATTCTTTAACTCATTTAATCATATTTTTCTGTCTGTGATTTAGCCCGTCTCATAAGAGACAGTTATAAAAAAAAAACCTGGGTACTACATATCCCAAAATGCAATGTGATAACATCTTTCAATAGATACCCCTTGCCTCCTAAATGCCAACTTCTTTCAAACCCCACACGTTTTAAAAGTCTGGTTTTTCTGGTTTACACTGGAGCTGCACACTTTTTGTAAGTCTGTGTATGACTCACTGGCCACGATGAAGGTGACTTCCTGCGTCCTACGTCCTGCCTTGTTCTGGGCCACGCAGGTGAAGGCGCCTGAATCTCCCTCCTCTGTGGGACTGAAGACCAGATCCAGGCCATCCTGGTAAACTCTGCCCTCTGTGGGCATCCGCTGACCTTCTCTCTCCCACCAGACCTCGGGCTCAGGTTTGCCGCGCGGGGGACGACAGGGTACCCGCTGCAGGGTGTCCGCTGTGAAAACCTTCGACATCTTAGGCGACATTTCCTCTATCTCTGTAGCGGAGAGGAAAGAGGGCGGGAAGCGTGAAGTAGCCATTTGAAAGCTGAATGAAATTGATTTCCATTTACACAAGGCGCCTGATAATCATCAATCTGTCTTCAAAGCCACTGAAGCATTACTGATTTTGAATTTCATGAGCAGCCCCAAGCACACTTAATTCCAACTCACAGTTCTGTTAACGGATTTCCTGTGATTTGTAGCGCAGGCCACAGTAATTAGAGAACAAAGTGCACAGTAGGCGAACTGAGTATATAGGTTGTATGGGAATTAACTAGGGCCTGTGTGAGGTGGGTCATATCAAAACTGGCAGCCCCTATACAGAAAGTGGAATGTGATCTGCGGTACAAGAACTCACAAGACCTCCCGCTACTGTGTGTGTCCCAAATGGAAGTCATTAATACTTTATTGGCCTACAACGCTCTGAAAGCTGGTCAGTGGCTGCGACCTTCTATGAGTCTAAGATCTAAATCAATTAATGAGAACAGAAGAAAACATGCATTTCTCGGCAGATGAAAGAGAAGTGGAGCTGGGAGAGGAGGGGGAGGGCAGTAAAATGAATGGAGGTGGAGCTACGATGGAGTGACTGTTTAAACTTGTCCCCTAAATACTGAATTCTACTGTGACACAATCCCCTATAATGCCTGCAGGGATTACCATCAGATTAAGTGAATTAAGGTATTTAAATGGAGCTGCGGTTCACTGGGTTAAAACTGCAGATACAGTCGAACCTTGTTAATCCAAAACCCTTGGGGAAAGGGGGCTGATGGAGAAGGAATAAAGTACTTGGGACCTTAAAACGCATAGAAATTCCAGCCCTAAGCTCCTTCAAAATATTTGACTTGCATGCACTTGCATTTCAAAATGCTGGCTGATTAGTAAGATGAGAAGATACTACAGCTTGTCCATGCTTTAAGCTCAAGCAGCCATTAAAAAAAGTTGTTAGGAGTTCTCTTTGGAGTCATGGTTCGACAGGAAAAGAGCGAGCGCTGCCATGTGTGATATTAAACTTTGATGTGCCTGGACTTGTACATTATATTGTTTTCCCTGTGTGTATCAGAACCTAATCTTTATGTACAACCATTAATTGTTATTGTTATAGTTCATGTTTTGTTTTAATTTTAAAGTGGTTTAACACACCTGCCCGTTGGAAGTAGTAATTTCTGACAAGTACATTCTACTGATGTTGGATGAAAATCATGGGGCAGGTCTACTGACATTTAACGTTTCACAACATCATAATTACACTGCTCGTTAGCCAGTTTGAGTCATACTGGTATGTTATCTAATGTTAACCGCTTGTTCAGCAAGGTGCTATTTCACTTTGGAGAAAGCTTTAGCTATACAAGCTTGGCAAACAGCTGGAGTGTTGGAGGAAATACTATAGAGGGGAAGCAAGAAAATGCTCCAGCACGGTGTGTGTCGGTGTGTGTGTGTGTAGTGGATACAGCTGGGCCGGATGTCAATAAGGGAATGTGATTATCATCGGAGAGATCTGGCTCTAAGTGAAAGATCCCGAAGAAGAAGGGAGAGCAGAATGAGATGGAGGGCAAGATAAATATGTAACCCAAATGCCCCCTCACACTCTCAGATTACAGAATCACAGGTGTTTATCCCTCACCAGTTCAACAACTTCTGATGTGTGTATTTGTGTGTGTGTGTGTGTACCTGCTATGAGGAGGGAGGCTTCCAGTGTAACATGGGACCCACTGAGGCCACGGCCCACACACTTGTAGGTCCCCGTGCTCCTGAGCTTGACCTGGGTGATCTGCAGTGTGCCGTTGGGGAACAGGAACAGACTGTGGAGGAGAAACGTATCAGACAATTTAGGCTTCCAGCTCGGCCTGTTCACACCGTCTCACCATCACTGACCAACAAACAATGTGTCACACATTACTCCTACATGAAAGGATCAACACATGTTCTCTCAAGTGCAATATCAGATCTGTCTCAGATCGCATCTGAAAATAATTCGTAGCACTTGTTTCGGCCTGCCAGGAGCACCAGACAGTGATGATCTGCAACACAGGACAACAGAATGCGTGCCAGAAAACTAGGGCTATCTCAACATAGGCTTTGTTTTTTGTGCTTGGCATGTTACCTATGTTATCTGAATTGACCTGATTCGCTAAACCCAAGCCATCTGCTGCTCCAAATAGGTTCAAATAAATGCTGAGAATGTGTCCACACAGAACACAAAGAAAAGTGACCTACATAGTGAGTTAATTTTAAAAAGTCTTGTGCTTTCCTGATGGCTGGCCCCCGGCTTCTGGCAGGCTGAAGGGAGTATCAGTGCCAGTGATGGACGGGATGAGAAGTAATTAAAGGCTGACCTTAAGCCAGCTTCAGGGATGACAGATAAGGAGCTGCACATCCCACAAAGCACCGAAATCAGCTCCACAGACCGGACAACTCAACAGCTTATCAATGCTCACAAAGTCGTTATAAAGATCCTGGGAAAAGTTAATATCTAAAACAGAGAGGAATAGGTAAGTAAAGGCACTGCTGGATGCATTTAGGATGTTGTGGAATTCCTGAGGAGAGTTTTCCAAAAGCAGGATTCATATCTGGTTGTGCGCTGGATTCCCTCAGGAGGGGTGATATTTCTGTGTCATCTCTCCTCTTCTTCTCTGTTTAATAGCGGGAGGGAAATGAGCTTTGGGAGCTTGTGCATGTTTCCACCCGAGAGATGGAGAACAAGTCTGTGGAACATTACTTCACACGGAGGAAACTAACTCTAAAATAACCACAAAACAAAATGAACAAAGGCAGGCTTTTTTAAAGGCAATCATCTTTATAGCTACATGGGATTCTACACAGGAAGAATTGGTGTGGTTTCACGTGTTTGCCTCCAGAGCTGGTTTGACCCAAGGGGGAGAATTTCCTCTGTCTGCAAAAACAGCCGCTGGTATATTTTTTCACACTTATGAAAAACAATCTACATCAAACATTCACACATCTAAAGGGAGAGGGGGGGTTGTCTAAAAAGTGCAGGTAGAAAACAGATGATGAAACATTCCTCTGGCATTATATCAGCCCAGATCAATAAACACAAACACACAAACCACCAGGTTGCCATGGAATACATTCTGTCTGTGTGTCTGTGGTTTTACATTCACGCTTATTACCTATCCCTCTGCTATCCTGGTGCTGAGTCATCACTGCATTGGTGACCAAACCAGCCTCTGACAAGCTCATTACACAAGTGACTAACTGTTGATATTGGAATCCTTCATCACCCTTGTTCATTCACTGAACACAATAATCACTTTAAAATCGAAAACCCGGCTCTCGCTCTCCATGTGGAACAGGCTGGAGTGTGCCTATGTATAAGCATGATGTGCTACGAACCCTGAGGGTATCCCTTGACTCTTGGTATAGAAATTGGTTATTATCTTGTGCTTATGTGTTTGTAGGGGACATGCTGGTAAGCTGATTGTAGCTTTAGGGGGTTTTCCGCTCCTTGGGTGAACACTGGAGAGCTGTAAAGTCTTTGGTGATAGGCTGGAGAGAAAGGCTGTGTTTAAGCGATGTATAGTAGACTGCAGAGAAACTTTACTGCATTGTGTTCCAGTAATAATATTCCTGTAATGTGCAATCCATCTTAAGACAGAGTTATAACAGCACACAGAGAGCACGATGCAAAGGTTCCACCTCATTGGGTTCAAAGGAATCCCTGAAGCTGGAGCTTATATAATGGTAAGTGAGGAGAGGGAATGAAGTGGGGGCAGGATGTGGAGAGAGAGGGGAGTATGAGATGTATGATGAGAAGGAAAAAGAGTGATTCAGAGGGGAGGATTTAGCTCTCAACATACCGAGACTTGTTTGACAGCAGCTCATTTTCGTGGTACCACTCCAACGTGGGTTCCGGCACGGCGGTAAACTGGCAATGGAGTACCGCCTCCTCGTTCCTCAACACCACCTGGTCCTGTGGAGTGACCACCGGCCGTGGAAAACTCTTATCTGTTAGAGAAGTAGACCAACATCTGCATGATTACATCTGCAAGCACCAGACCATCAAGTTCCATCTGTGTGGATGCTTGTGCATCGCACCAATCTACTCCGAGCTTTATTAAAAGCTGCCAACAGCAACGTGAGGCTGGTGAGCAAGTGGCCTTCAGGTGGCGGTGTGTGTCAACACCTCAGGGGGCCCCAGGGAGACTTAATGAGGTCAGTGAACAGACCCTCCAGCTTATCTGGACCATCATCTCCTCCTTTTTTTCCCCCTCCTGGATCGTAGAATCAAATTCTCTGTGATGATCTAAAGTCACGCTATTCCAAAAAACTAGGGTTAGAAGGACTCAAGTGGGGGTCAACTACTATGGAAGGAAGGGAAATCTGTACCTGAATGATCAAACTGATAATAATTTTGTATTTTTAACAATGGAGGTTGAAGGATTTTTACAGCCAATTTCAAATAATCCAGAAACTGCATAGTATTTGACCTCTATTTGACCCCATTTACCCTGCTAGGTGCCCTCTAAACATTTCCATTGGCTAACCCTGGACAAGGCTGATCTGGCCTGCTAAAACCAGAGATTTAGTACAGTACAATCTAGAGGAGTAGTAATTACCCCACAGATTTAAGGACATTGTTATACTCTAAATACAAAAGCTGAAGGGTGTTGAGCTCAATAAAGAAATGGGAACATGAAAATACCCTTAATCCAGGTTTAAATGTGTGAGTATTTCAATTATGAACAGCTAAAGGAGGTATAGTGCCAGTGGCAGTATCAGGATATGGCTACTGGTTGGTGCGAAGAAAAAGAAAGGCGTACACTCAGAGCACACCTGGCCCACCCAGGAAGTCGGTGGGAAGGCCTCATCTTAAATGGCCGTGACCGTGCATTGAAAAGCTGTCTAAATCTGTCAGCCTTTCCTAAAGGTGAAGCCCTATAGAAGAGCCGAGGGTGGCAACATGGTAACTGGAAACTCGACAATTATCCATTCTTCCTTCAACCAGGTGCTAACCTAGCGTGTCTGTGTGTGTGTGTTGCAGGTGGCTAATTAGAGTGGAACGAGGCATCAGGTTTCTTGCACAGATGTGCTACTGCTGTATGTACAGTACTAGCACTGTGGTGTAGATAATACACAGGAGGGGCCCACACTTATATAGTAAATAACAAATGTCATGTTACCAGCCTGCAGAAATACAAATAATCTCCCTATACAACAACACTGCAGCAGACTGTCTGCGAAAGCTACGATAAAGCAGTCAGATCAACAGAACAACACTGCTGCTGAGGGGGCTGATATTATTATTTGCCCTGTAGATGTTTATAATGTTTGTTTCGGTCTGCGTGAGTGGCGGAGGAGGAAGGTGCTAACACACTCTCAGGTAATCACATTAGGAACGCTGTCACTGCCTCTCTGCACGCTCTCTCACCACTAATGGTCTACGTGCCCCCTCCTCCCTCTTCTTCACCACACGTCCTGGCAGGTGTGGAAAAATTCATGGAGAGCTAAACATATCTGATTATTAATTACACGCAAACTGGAGCTGAAAAGGATTGGTTGATTAATCAATTAGTTAATTAGTGGAAAGGTAATGAGCAAATTGCTTCTTGTTTGTGTCATTTTCACATAACTTGTGCCAGCTTCTTGGGATTTGCTGATTTATATTATTGTAAAAATGCATATAGTTGAGCAATGTGAAGATGTTCCCTTTTTTTTCGCTTTTTGAATTGTCGTAATAATAAAAGAAATAAGAAAATTGGTACATCAATCAATTACTGTAGCTTTACAAGCAATGCTGCGGGGCTAATTCAGCTTAATAAGTTAAGTCATGCCAAGGGTGGCCAAAACTGTGAAACCACAGATGAATACACTGTTACAAAAGGCCACACACACTCACACACACACCTATTATGTTGAGAGTGAAGTTGCTGTTGCTGCAGACGTGCCCGGCTGCATTCTTGGCACAGCAGTAGTACAGGCCGTTGTCGTCCGGGCTAGCACTCTTAAAGGTGAGCGTCCTCTCTTTGTTGTTGATCTGATGGCTCTTCTCTGTCAGCTTCACCCCGTCCTTGAACCACTGGCACGTCGGCCTGAGAGGGAGAGGAGGAATTAGACAGGATAGGCATGAGAAGAGAAAGCAACAATTGAGGAAGAGCCGGGTGATTGATGGAGCCAAAAGAGAAGATATATAAAAGGTGAGCAGAGGGGGACAGAAGAAGAATAGGAAAAGAAGAACACAAGGGCATGAGAAAGGCCAACAAGGACAGGAGAAGAGTTTTTCGGTACAGTCCTCAACACGATCCTTAACCCTGTGAGCTCTGAACTTGAGGTGACTGGGGGAGGAGACTCACCGTGGGTGTCCATCAATGTGACAGCGCAACGTCACTGGCGCAGAGCTCTCAATCTCCCCTTCTGAGGCGGGCTCCTTCAATGTCACACCACCACTTTCTAACCCTGTAGAAGAAGAAAAACAGAGGAGAATGTAAGGAGGAGGGAGCGAGCACACGAGCAATAATCCAGGAGAAGGACAGGAGGAAAAATTGAGTTAAGTGGTCGTCCTGTCGTCTGTCCTAGCGGGACGCATGACAATGCTAATGGGTCCAACAGGGATGAGGGCAGAGTGGAGCACATCGCTGTGACAGCACTATGACTCAGGAAGAGCGGCAGAGCAGAGAGCTACCACTGTCCTGCACTCACAAGAGCAAGCTCGGCCTTTACAGCGCTTTTTATGGACATTTATTGGACAGCTCATTGACATACTCTGTTAAAATGGCTACTGTGCTGTCACAGCAGCCTATAAAACAGGCAAAATGGGGAAAAAAAGAGCAATAAGGCAACAGTGAACATTTTTTGACTTCCAACCTGATCAGGTGTGTTTACATTACAGCACCATGGGAGGAGCAAATACCACAACAAAGTGATGAGAGTAATCACTCACATGTGTCACATGAAACCTGATCAATGGTATCAGAGTGACAGATGAGCAACAGAACAAATGAAGAAAACAGATGGCGGGAAATTGATCCACGGCCGTCCCCTGAACGCATCATGGTGCAGTGGGAAATGAGGAGAACAGAGTGGTTTTACTATTAAGGGTTTGACCCAGTGCACTGAGATATATAAATCAACTACATACAGTATGTCAAGAAATCATCACAGTTGCAAATCTTTCCTACATTCTCCTAAAAGGGTAAAATATGATACACTCCCAGTGCATGATTCTTTCAAATGTCAAGACAGACTAGCAGATACAGTATATCTCATGAGGCATGTCATCCCTCTAGGTAAAAGGAGGGGAAGGGAAGCTTCTGCAAGCCTCTTTGGTCAGAAATTCAACTGTAAAAATGCCATATTTGATCTAAAAGGAGACACTTCTGTTGACATAATCATTGCCTGTCGCTGGGCTAGATGCACACTGAAGTCTGCTGGGTGAATAAGTTAGTGTTTTACAGTTATTGAGAGAAACCAAAGTTGTATCTTATCTGGCGAGAGACACCTTAGATTTGGTTGTAATACAGCCTTAGCACACCTTGCTGGAATTCCCCTTCTCTTGTTGTATGTGTTGACTACACAAATACTTAATGTTGACACTGAGTGAGAACCAGGGCTAATTGGTATTTATGTGATGATGTATAAGCAGCGGTTCTATCACATGCAGTAACTGTACACCTAGCGTGTTTACTGTGTACATACATCCTTTCACTGAGAGAGCAGAGTTTGTTTGGGTAGCCCTGGTTAATGCATGAGTCCATGAGGTTTTTATGAGTGTGTATGTTATGTGTGTATTAGTGTAAGACATTCCACAATTGTGAGCTCCATTTATATGGCCTGTGGCTGAATACTGCTGCTGCATCTCTGCTGCTGTTTGGATCATCTATGAAATATGCATGGCATGAGTCTCCACCTGAGAGTGGTGGAGAGGCGGGTGGGGGAGACACAACACCACTGTGAGGTCAGAGGGGGCGCTAGAGGAAGACCTGTCACAATGAATTACGCAGAAAACTGGCAGTGCTCTGCACCTCGGGGGATCATGGGAAACCCGTCTCCAGAGTAACAGGGCCTCCATCCCTCTTCCTCATATCCCCATCTGTGACATGATCCGCTCATTAGCTTCCTCTCAACACAGATACCCCAACAACTGTGAGTATGTGTGTGGAACAAGAGTGTAAGTGTTTGTGTGTGCGTGTGTGTGTGTGTCAGAGACGTGTTTGTATCTGTATGTGGTGGTGAGGTGTGAAACGCAGCTGATGATGCTGTGCCCCAAAGCAGGAATGCATGCGTGTAAATGTACTGTCTGACAGTTCTGCAGAGGATGCTAATTGGTTGGGTGTCTCAGTCAAGGCCTTTCCAGTCAATAACTCCGGTAGCTTAGTGAGGAGGAAGTGATGAAGGCCATCTTAGCAATGGAGACCTGGGGCCAGACACTCCAGACAGACCTGTTATTAGTGCACTGGAAACCTAAGGGGGGCGGCGAAACCAGAAGGGGAAACAGTGAGTCACTGAGGAGGAGGAGGAGGAGAGAGTCAGAAAGAAAAAGTCTAATGGAACAACAAGTATCACCTGCAACATGACTGACATTCGTAAATGAAAACAAAAGCATCTGTTTTAACTTGCCCGGAGTAACAGGTGGGTGTCAAACTGACACAGCTGGATTTTAAAGTCACATTCTGTCCGACGTCTGTGTGTTTTTATGTTGTCTACAAAAAAAAATGTGATTCAGATTGTAACCTCTGTCTGGTATGCCTTTACTGGGAAAAACCCTCTGACACCTTTTTACATTTGTAAGAAATATTTTACATTCCAGCAGCATGAGTCTGTAATAAGAGGAAAAAAACTGGGTAGGTAGTGTGAGCAGTAAGACACACCAGGGCTGAAGAGACAAACAGAAGACCTATATACTATAGGACACAGTACAGAATACACTGCTTGACCTCTGTGACCTTATAATTATTGGAACAATGAGCACTTATCAACACACACTATCTTGTGACTGTCTAAAGTTTCTACCAGTCCAGACCTATTTGGTTCTGCAGCAGGTTAAAAACCAATTATTGGTATCATTTCATTTCCAATTTGACCTGGATTTTCTGACAGTAACACATTCTAACCTTTTACCCCGCACAAAAATCCATTCACAGTTCAGATTTCTCCAGCTGTCCAATGGACAAACAGAAGGCGCTCTTTCATAACCTATTAGTGGCAAATACTTCCCCGTAATCCCTCTCAGAATGCATGACTAAGTGTTGGAGCAGGCCTGGCAGCTAACGCCATAATTAGGGGTGTATAATTATTATGTTGGAGGCAGAACAGGAAGCTCTATCAACACAGGGATGATAACAGATGAACTGTGAGGATATTGTCAAGGCAGATGCTTGGACCATTCATCCCTCACTGTGCCAAAAGGCAGCTGTATGTGCGTGTGTTAGTCTGTTTCACTCAATGAGCTGATTTGTTGCCATGGAGAAGGGTTTCTGAAACAGACACGCAGGGTGGATTGTGTTATCCAGGGCAATGCTGGGGATAGGATTTGACAGACAGCACCATATGGGTATGGAAATAACTAAAACATGTGGCAGATTTTGTAGACTTTGCCCCAGCACAGTCGTGTGACAAAGCGTGACGAGGTGTCAGATTTTATCAGCTGTGGCTGACAGAGGTCAACAGGCCAGGCTGCAAACTACGGCAACTCAGAGAGAAGCTGCTGCTGTGACAAGGCAGAAAGAGGAGGAAAAAGGAGGGGGAAAAAAAAGAAGACACTGACACTGGAGGAAAGTGACTCTGCAGGGGAGAAGCTGACGGATGGAGCCTGGGTCATTAAGCATGAGGAGCTGCATTTTGTCAGCTCACAAAAGCCATGGTAGTGGTAGGAATTGTGACAGGGTGTGAAAGAGTAGAGCTGTGCTGAATGATCTGAAATGCATCTGCTGAACTAATGTAGGTTATGGACGCATGCTGTGTGATTAAACCAAGATGGCGCGTGTGTTGCGGCTCTATGAATTGAAAGATTAAACAGGGAGGAAAATGCGCCTCCTTGCCTGTTTCTACTGTACGTTTCCCTTCTTCCTGCTGGCTATGTCACCGATTTCCAAAACGCTGTCAGTCTTCATCTTGTTACCGACAGTCAAGCGAAGCGTTGCCTCCAGGACCAACAAACACGCTGACAATAGTGATGCCTGAGCCTGACGCCACTGCTGGACGCGGTCTCTCCATGGAGACCCAGTGACCGGGGTGGGACAAAAAAATAAAGGGGGGCTAAAACCTCTATTAGTGAAGACAGAAGGGGGGATAATTACTCTGAATAACTCAACTGGCAGGATTTGCCCACCCACTATTGAGAGCAAGATAAATTAACTCTCTCTCTGCAGAGGGCGGGAGGAGGAGGGGGGACAATCTACTCTTGTACAGTCCATGTACAGTACATATGGAATAACGCCACCACCCCCCACAACCCCCCTTCCAACCCACATTTACTACTACGCACGCAAACTTGCATACACATGAGTGAACGCACATGCAGGATTAATGCCGGAGGGGGTCTTGACTTTAAAGCTGTGTGCGGCTTTATCGCCCGTTAAATTTATGTTGGGGAAATATGAGAACATCTGTCATAACATGGTCTGATCCACCTAAAGTGATCTAGAGATGGACAGCTAACCCGTACATTATGACAAAGAGACAAATGTGTTGATGCACAGAAGTAGATGTAGCATACAAAAGTGATTAAGGAGGATTTATTGCTGTTGTGTGTTTGATTCAGAATAGTATGCTGTGCTATACGTTATCTTGTTTCTCCTTTAGCGATTTCTTATCTGTATTCTTATTAAACCGATACAAAAGTACAATTACATTTTCCAACCAAATGTTAATGTGTGGTGCATTGACAACACTACATTCAATATTATCTGCTTCTCAGCAATGTATCTGCTGCTCGTATCTGCTCTATCTACTGCACATCTGCAGCACCGTCACATATTTGAAAAGAGACAAATGTGCTGTCAGTGTACCCGGCGTCCTAACTCTGCCCTCGTAGCGGTTTTGCTAAAAGCCTCAAGCAGCCAGTTTCTAATTTGGAAGGCTACTTGATATGATGCCCCATCAGCCCCCTCAGAGGGAGAGACCATGCATGCAAACATGTATGCTCATTACCACCCGCAAAAGAGGAAATATCATGTGCATTTGCAGGAATCATGTTGGAAACAATAGTCAGCTTATGAGGAGTTTCAGAGGGGATTTTTTTTTTTATTAAAGATTTATTTAACATGAATCTGCATTGACTGATTTTTTTTTGTGCAGTGACAGTGATGTATTACCTGTATAAAGTTGTTATGCCAAAGCTGTTGGTAAACAGTTGTTTATCTACACATCAAGCAGATATGGAGCAACATTGGTCTTCATTTGGTCTCCACTACGACCTGCCAGTTGCCAACTTTGCCCATCTGTTCTTTGGTGTAGGGCAGGTAGAGGTAGAGTACACTATGTTTATCACAGCTTTTGAGAAATGATGCCCTTGACAGCAGTAAACTCTAACTGTGAATTTGTGAGCCAGACACTTAAAAGGTTGCACCTCATCTTATATTTACACCTCTACATTTTGACTCTTGTTGCCTCTATAATATAAAAAAATTTGTTCCTATATCCCGTAAACGATTATATAGTTATGCCATTTACCAAGCCTTTCAAAAACGGATAAAAAATTCCCATGAAAATAAATAATCAATGTATTACCACTCTTATGTAAATAAGGGCCCATATACATTTCCATGATTTATTAAGTTCAGCATGAAAAAACATTATTTTTTAAAGAATTATTACACCACCTTCCTTCCAATACAAATATGCCTCTCTTTTCCAATGCGTGGGAATATTAATGATCTGGCAGCTCTTAAGAACTGGTGCTTCATGTCTAACTAGTTTTCTTTTTTAGTTTTTTTTAATCTGTGGGAGTATGTCAGTTGAGCTGTATTGACACACTAGATCATGTTTAATTGCAACACATAAAAGCAGTTCCCTTCAGATCAGACATGGTTTGGAAAACTGATGTGCTTCTTTGGTCCGTCTGGCTAAAACTTTTAATCATTTAGACTCAACATCACAGACCACAAATATCCAGTGGTGGAAGACACATCATACAGCAGGGGTTAAACCTCTGCTATCCCACTCCGTCTGTCCCTCTCAGTCTGTCTCTCAGTTTACTACTAGGAGGTCTGGACACTCATCGGCTCTTGTAATCCGCCTTTGAACAATTATCATCACCGCAAAGAAAAACCTTGCAGGCTGAATGTATCTAGAGAGGACAACATATTCCAGATGGAGCCATTTTTCACCCTGCTTTGCTTTGTTTTCTTCTGCCATCAGTACAAACTTAGTGTTTGCAAGACACAAAGGCTTTTGAGTAACAACTGGTACCTGAGGGCCTTCCACAATACGTGAACAAGGTTGTTATTTATCCCAACCAGGGCTGTGCAGAATTCCCATGGCTTTCTCTGAAACTTAAGAGGGTCATTCAAGGTTTGGTTATGGGGCTAAACAACAAAATTAAGATACCAGTGTTCCTCCTTTTGATGGGATAAAACATTTAGAAAGTGACGTAATGAAAAGCCTGACATTAATAAAAAATTCTTAAGTAAGAAGGGCAGTGTTAATCTAAAACTACATAATTATATAGCTGGGAAGGAAATTACAGTTGCTCAGTAATTTCCAGACAAAAGCCTTTTGATAGTATATGGGAAAAGAGTGTGTTATACAACGGAAGAAAAAAAAAAGATACAAGCAACAAGAAACACATGCTTGGTGGCACACATATCCAGTTTCCTTTGGAGAGAGGGAGAGGAAGCCACAAAGAACAAGGCAACAAGGTGGAAACATTCCTTCAGCTCATACTACCTGTCATCTTATACTGTGACTTTGTATAGCTTTTTTGATCCAGAAACTGGATGCACACCCTGGCTGCCATTATGAAACTCTGTCAGCTGGCAACTTTCACTCAGGAGGTTTTTTTGTTGTTTTTTTCTAAAAGGGAGGGTGAGAACAGCTTGAAACTAAACACTCACACTTGATATTGAAGGAGGCATTGGTGGAGTGGAGCAGCTCTCCCGTGGCCTCATTCTGTGCGATGCACTCGAAGCTCCCTGCGTCCAGCCGGCGATCCACAGCGGTGAACTTGAGGTTGCTGCCCTCCATGAAGCGCCTCTCGCTGTTTTGCAAGGGCTGGCCGTTGTGGTGCCAGCCGTATGTGATGTCAGCCGGATCGCTGACCTCGCAGCGTAGCATGGCGCTGCGGCCATGCAAGGCATCCTGGGACTTGGGCTCCTTGGTGAACTGGATGGTAGCAGCGTGGATGGCCAGAACTGGAAGAGGAGGAAGAGAGAGAGAGGGAAAGTAAATGACAGAGGATTAGAATGGATCTGCTGTTAACATTTTACTGCTTTTTCCGTTCATTAAGTGTGTGCCATAGCGACCACTTAGCCTTGCGGAGGAATGCGATGTTTAGACAATACTGGCTAGCTGTGAATTATTTTGTCGTAAAATTATCAGACCCAACGTGGAGAAAATACGTTTTCCCGTTAGTGGGGCTATGACGTGATCTCACACACACATACACACACACACACGTGCCTCACAGTCATGTGCCATCAGCTCAGGGAGACGCATCTCTCAGACAAGACATGATGTGTTGCACGCACATCCTCACGCACACTTAAATCTTTTATTTCCCCTCATGATGCTGTGTACAAGCTCTGTGTTAGAGACGTGTTTTCTGCTCTATTTACCCTCATCTCAGTGGAGAAAATGACAAGAGTGTGACTTGGTCTGAGGCTGGAAGAACACTTCACAGTCAGTTCTCTACGCTACAGTTAGAAGCCAAGAGTTCACAAAACACAAGAAACACAAGATACTGAGCACAGATAATGAAAACAGAAGAATGGAGTCACAGTACGATTAGATTTGTTTCACCTGTGTGTGTTCCCCATTTTTATTTTTCCCATTTTTTTTAAATATCAGTCACGGAACAACTAGAACTTGAAAGAGCATGTTGGTGACAACACTGCAGTAGTATGTGTTAACAGAGTAATGATCAACACCCATCAGCTAACAAATTAATCTTCATATTTTATGATTCTTGGATCAAGAAACACAAATGTTTTGTAAAATTGCCAGTCACTCGCTTATTCCAGCTCAATGTAATACAGTCACACCCCTCCACCTGAAGATTCCTGTCAACTTCCTGTTGAAGGGCCAAAAAAAAGACAACATATTAATTATCATCACTAATATGTCTTTCATGAGAACAGAAAGACTCCAGCTGCACTCTGTCATCGTGTTTTAGCAGCTACCACCATGAACTCCTCATCAATAACTAACTCCACCGGTTTGTCATAGCCCTCATGTGCCCTGCGTAACACAATGTTATCATACCTGAAGTCAAGGTTTGTTATCATAAGGAAGGGTTCACCACTCAATTAAGCATACCTACACCTGCGTAACGGTGTGTGTACATGTGTGTGTGTGGAGGTCTTCATGGTCCTCTTGCGGGCAAGAAGCCAAGTAAAAAGGAGGATCTTTCAATAATGTTAAATCAAAGAGCCTGCTGAAGATGAGCCAAGGTAATTCCTCCATCTTTGACCCTCCTCACCCCACCGCCCCTGTCCTTCTCCTGTCTGTGCATCTCTTCATCAGGCTCACCTTTGTCTCAGCTGCAGGTGGCTGGAGTCAACAGACACGCAGGCAGAGGAAGACGCAGCAAGGCAGAAAGGCTGATCAAGCATGCCAGGTGAAATAAGCTTGCCTTAAATGCCCCCTTTACCTTTACATTTTGCAGACAGGAGGAAGATCTACGCATAGCTAGAGATCTGAAAATATGCCAAACAGTTTGAGATGTGGACCTCTGAATAATGTCAGCAAGAATAAAATACAGAATCTACCATCAAATACTGCGCTAGAAATAAAGAGGAATGTCTGGGTGTTATTGCACATGAATGTCTCCAGCTTAATTAAAGACAAATTGTTGTGAACACAATGTTGTGTTAAAGCAAAAAAACAACTGCTGAATGCCTCCTTACTCAGCATGCCAGCAACTGCATTAAAGAGCTATCCTGATAAGAAAATAGCTAAAACATCAGCGACTACTCCTTTATTTCAGGACACAAGACAGCAATCGCCCTGAAACGTTTTCCTATGATGGTACAAATCCGCACACATCTCCACTGATGCACAGTGTAAGATTAGCACAAGAAATGTGTCCCTTCAAGGCCCAAAGACAAACACGCTCAGTCTGACAAGGTCACTCCATGTGCAGGCCGCTGGAGTGAGAAAATGTTCCCTGGGAGTGAGCATTTTACAGACAGCTATGACATTAACGTCAAACTGATCAAAGCAGTTGTGCAAGTCCAGAGAACAACAACTGAATATGTCAGACCGTCACCATGTGCTGCCCAACATGTCACATTTCCTTGAGAATGTCCTGTTGGGCCTTTGCTATGACTGGTCTTTGTAAAGCACTTTTATATGAATTCACTTCTGGATTTAGATATCTATCGCCAACTGGTCACACAACTGGTCACATTTTTTTCAACTTCGTAAAACAGCTACATAGCAACCGATAAGAAAATGACACTATACTTCAATGTTATTATTTTTAGTCTATCATAATTTCACCAGGTCTGGCAAACAGGTGGATCGATGGCTTCTTTGGGGGAAGGGGAATTGAGTTTTTTTCCCCCATGGAGACACTGTATTAGAGGTCACACAGCACAATGAACTTTCTTTCAGCTGTAAATACAATGTGGGGGAGAAATGTACTGGGTCCAGGAGAAACACCTGCTTCCAGATGATTGGCTTTTACGTTACTGTATCAGGCCAAAATATCTCACTTCCTCACCTTAATTTGTTCCAGCTAGACTGAAATGACAACCATCTTATTTATGTGTTTCCATACAGAGATTTTATTTCATTTTCTGTCATACTGTCTCAACATGGGAAGACGGTCTTGTGAGAAGGTTTGAGCTAACCCACAGTTAGTTCATTGACCAAAGAATTTATTAATAATAGAAACCACTGATCAAGAGATTTACTGATTATGAACCCAATAGTTAGCCCTGGTTCATAAATCATTCTTCCCTCATCTGAAATGAGCTCTAGTATGGTTCCTTCACATGATTTATTGCAGAAAGGATTATTCTAACTTCTCTTTTGTACAAGAAAGTGGTCTCAAACTATTCTCCTAAGAGTCTGAATTTGTTCCATCTGTGTAAAGCTGGGATAAAAGGCAGCAGATGGGTTGGAAACACCAACAGAGTCATCCCCAACATTCACCTAAAACAATCTATCAAGTAATGTTCACAGACAGCGCGCTGCCTCCATGCCAAGCTTACAGCTGGGGTGTGAGGTAGCGCGCCAACTTCCATCACACTGAGCCTCCTCTGTGTACGCTGATGTTGCAAGCTTTGGTGGAGGAACGGCAGAGCTGTGGCATGCAGTTGATGGTTTCATTTGAGATGCACGTTGACATACAGTGTGTGTGTGTGTGTGTGTGTGTGTGTGTGTGTGTGTTTAGACAGGGAATTACTCCTG